TGTCCCCTGTAGGGCTATGGGTCAGTGAGGGACGTCGTGTCTCATAGTGGGACTGCTCATATGGTCCTCTCAGTGCATTGGCTGCTCTCAGCAGGCATATTGTCCTCAAGGCTTGGTGGGCCAGGATGTGCTCCACTCTCTCTTCCTCCCGCTTCATTTGATCCTGTGTGCTCTGATCACACATGTCCCTCTCCAAGCAGTAGCTTCAGTGCTGTCTTCTGAAGTAAATCCTTCCCAGGGGAGAGGGGCCTGTCCACGTAGTTGGGATTGAGGCTGGCCCCTCAGACCAATCTGTTGCTTCCCTGCTTCATGCTAGTATGTTGCATTCACATCTTAGAGCACCAGTTGAAGTCTGGCCCCTCTTTCCCTGTGGAGATATAAACAATACCCTCCCCTTGGGTGGGTTATTGCCCTGTTCCCCTGCTACCCATGTTGGGTTTGTTTTGTTTTGTTTTTCCCCCTCCTTTTTAGTTGGCTACCATAGGTACCCCTGGATTTGGTCTGGCCCTGGTCATACTACCTGGACTTCACCCCAGGAATCTTTTGTTTATAGTAGCTTTTTCCCTATGCCCCTTTTGTACTTTTTCTTTGCGCTTACCTCAGCAGACTCATGTTGTACTTGTCCTTTTTTGTTTGGCTTACTTTGCTTAGCATAATTTCCTCCAGTTCTTCCCATGCAGCAATGTGCTTCATGCGTTCATCACTGTTTTTTTAGGAATGGTAGTACTCCGTTGTATGTATGTACCACAGATTTTCAATCCATTCGTCTGTTGATGGAAATTTGGGTTGTTTCTAACTCCTTGCAATAGTGAATTGTGCCACGATGCACACTGGAGCACAGATGTCTGGCCGTGGTTTGTTTCTTGCTTCTTCAGGGTATATGCCTAGTAGGAGGATTACTGAACCATATGGTAGCTCAATTTCCATCCATTTTAGAAATCGCCAAATCAATTTCCATACATACCTACAAGTCCACCAGCAATGGATGAGAGTTCCTATCTCACAACAGCCCCTCCAACACTTGCTGCTTTCTGATTTTCTGAATGGGCTATCTTTGAGGGAGTTAGGTGGTATCTCGTTTTAATTTGCATTTCTCTTATGGCTAATGATCGGGAACATTTTCTCATATGTTGATTGGCCATTCGGATTTCTGCCCTTGTGACACTTCTGTTCAGGTCCTTTGCCCACCTCCTCAGTGGGCAATTAGTTTTTTTCTTTTTGGAAGCCAGTACAGTATTGTAGATTTTAGTAATAAGGTCTTTGTCTGATATGGTATTGCCAAAGATGTTTTCCCAGTCCATGGGCTCTCTTATATTCTCTTGGTGAATTCCTTGGATATACACAGGTATTTTATCTTCTGGATATCCCATTTGTCAATTTGTGACTCATCTGTATTTGTGTCCTTCCTTATTTCTGGTAGTCTATGTATTCCCTGCGCCAAAGTTCTCTGGTTTGTGCCTATTCTGTCATTGATGGCCCTAATAGTTTGGGGTCTTACCTCAAGGTCTGTGTTCCACCTTGAGTTTATTCTTGTGCATGGAGTGACATAAGGGTCTTGCTTCATTTTTTCTGCAGGTATATATCCAGTTTTTCCAGCACTTGTTAAAGAGGGTATCCACTTCCCATTTGATATTTTTGTGGCCCTTATGCTGATGATTTTATTTCTGGGTTTTCAGTTCTTTTCCATTGGTCTGAGTATCTGTCATTATACCCATACCATGTGGTTTTGACCACTGTGGCTGTATAGTATGTGCTAAAGTCAGGTAATGCAAGCCCTCCTACTGTGTCCTCCTTCTTGAGGAGTTCTCTGCCAATTCTGGGCTTCTTTCCTCTCCATATGAAGTTGGTAATTAGATTTATATCTTAAAATACACCCCCTATCCAAAAACAACCAACCACTTCCAATAAGTCAGTTTCAATTCATAGCAACAACATGAGAGAGACAGGGTAGAACTGTGTTTGGGTTTCCGAGGCTATAAATCTTTACAGGAGTAGAAAGTCTCGTTTTGCTCCCTTGGAGAAGCTAGTTGCTTTGAATTGTTGGCCTTGCAGTTAACAGTCTAAAGTATAACCATTAAGTCACGTGGGCACTTATCTTAGAATAATATGACTTCAACAAAAATTGTAGTATATACTTTACTTCATAAGCCCTGGTGGTATAGTAGATACGCATCGGGTTGAAAACTGAAATGGTGGCAGTTAAAAACCACCAGCTGCGAAGAATTATGGGGCTTTCTACTCCAGACAACTTTCTATTCCAGCAGAGTTACAGTCTCAGAAACCCACAGGGGAGGTTTCTGACCTATCCTACAGGGTTCTAACCTATAGGGTCACTATGTGCAGGCATTGACTTTTAAGAATTCTGAGAAAGACATTATTCAAAAATTTTTTAGGAACTAGTCCTTTTATTTCAATGATACATTGATTCAAACATTATCCTTTCAAAATGAACATTTTAAAGGTCATTTATAACTTATGACTTAAAGTAATTTATTCTACAAACGGAAGGCATTCTGAAGTGTGGGCATCAATAATGTACTCAATTAATTTCTGCATTTTGGAAATTTTGCTGAAAGATGCCTTTCTGTTAAACTAAGAACACCTGGCACAGCCTAGGCACAGTTTCCCCCCCCCCTGAAAAGTAATACCTGTCCATTATTGAGAAAACAAAAACTATACGCTTTTATCATGATTAACTTTCAGTAAAGCTTTACAAATTCATTTTATAAATCAGGCAAAAAGTCATTTTCTAATATCTTAATAGCAGTGATTTAGTAATTATTCTGAATATGAAAAAATTTTAAGTTACAGACCAAAACTATGAAAGTTTTTTGGACCAGTAAGTTGATTGCTTATGTAACTGAGGATTTTCCTTCCAGCCAAAATAATTAACTATATCAAGTAGTAGAGTAGAAAGCAATCCTCCATTTATATCCATAGACTGTAACTTACTAGATTACTAACAAGATCAATTCCTAAATCTGTCTTTAAGTCAAATTTGTACGTTAGTCAAAACAGGTACACTTTAACTCCAACATCACATAGTCCAATGTTCATCACAAGTATGATGTGCGGGGCTTCAAATAGTTCCTGCAAATTTTTAATTAAAAGGTAATGAAAATTTTCCACTTCTTGAAGCCCCTTGGATAGCAGATAGAATAGCTGCTTTTTCAATGTGTACAAAATATTAAAGAATTCCAGCACACACTAAAACATCTAATATAACACAGTGATGATAATGCTTTAACGTGTGCCAAAAAAATATGTTACTACAAATCATTGTATGTACCTAAAAATTTTAACAGTAAGCTTTATGGGGTTAGTTTGCAACTCAAGGTAATATGCAAGATATTTGTAACCCAGGGAATACATACAAATAGAGTTTTCCATGGAAACTATAGGTCAGCTAGCTGGTACCAGCAGAGCAAGTTCATTCTATACAACAAAGTAGATACCTTCTTCACATCAGCTATCCGTTCCTTCTTAGAAGTGGGCTTCTCTTTGGCTTCTGGAAGGGCTGGCTGGGATTTGGAACCTGCAGATTCACTTTCAGAGTCTGACTGGCTCTCCGAAGATTCAGAACTGCTATTTGACTCGCTGCCATGTCCACTTCCTGGGTCACTGCCCTGCTCACTTTCCGACTGGCTGCCCGAGTCTGAACCAGATGCTTCTTCAGATGCTGAATGACTAAATGTTTAAAAGATAATTTAAAATATTGAAGAATCTGTTAAGTTGCAATATCACTTTCAAAACAAAAACAGAACAAAAGTAAATCAATAAAGTTACACATACAAGAACGCAATCTTGTTGCAATTAATTATTCCTGGTCTCAAAAATAGTCCCTAATCAGACTAATCTAGGAAACTTTTTAGAAAGCGTACACACATTAACCCCAACACAAAGGTACTGCCTTGGAATCTCACACACAAAAGGCCCTTGACATGGTATACTTAACATGAAAAACAAAAAGGACTTTCAATTCTAATGTGAATGTCTAGTTAAGAACAGATTCAAATAATCCAGGAGTATGCTGTTGGCCTTCACACCCCTCTCCCTAACTCAATTCAAATACCTCCCAGGAAAAATTAGCCTTGGGAGGTAGCTACATTAGACCCGAAGCCACATACAATGCAGTAAATTGCCTTTTTTTGTTTTTTAAAGCCATGACCTTGTTAACTCCCACACAATAACTATACAAATACAGTATGTAAAGCTCTGGTGGGGTTTGGGCAGTTGATTATGATGAAAAAAATAAAAATATAGTGATGTGGCCTATGAAGGAATTGGTTTTGTCATTCTGCTGGAATTAGGAGGGCTAGCTAAGGTGTATGAGCACCCTCATTATCATCATAATGGCGCCTGGCACAGAACATTTCCTTTGAACTTAAGACCCAGATCACTGAGCTGAGAACCTCCTAGACCAAGAAGGAAAGGGGTGAGAAGGCAGTGAGTGACAGTAGAGAGCAAAAGACTTCCCACAGGGCTGACAGCTGTGAAAGCTTGCTTGTGAGGGGCACAGGTCTGAGTGTCCATGCTGCCGGATGCCTCAGAGGGTCCTGTGAAAGGATCTTCTCCTACAGCAAGGCAGAGCAGAGCAAGACACTTCTGGGCATAGCTTCGAGAACCGAATCACTTGTGCAAGGCAAGAGAGGCCCAAGTACACCCTGGGCAGGGGCTGCATACCATCCCTTCTGTCAACCGCCACCCAAAGAGCTGGGGCACAGGTCACACAGTAACAAGAAAGACCTTTAGGCTAGCAAGGCAGGAGAGGGGACTAGGAGCTCAGGAAATCTTCAGAGGGGTCTTTCAGAAAGCAGCAAGGCCCAGAAAGGCCCAGAGCAGAAGCCTAAGGATTTGTACGAGTCCTAGACTCAGCAGTGACATGAACAGTGTCTGGCGTAAACTATGGAACGCACGCATGCCAAGCAACCACGATGTCATTTATGGGAGAATGTTGTTGCTGTTGTGAGGTCCCATTGAGTCGATTCTGACTCATAGGGACCCTGTGGACAACAAAGCAAAACACTACCAGGGCCTGAGCCGTCCTCACAAATGCTCTTATGTTTGAGTGCATTGTTGCAGCCACTGTTGTCAGTCCAACTTGCCGAGGGTCCTCCTTTTTCTGTTGCCCCTCCAGTTTACCAAGCATGCTGTTCCTATCATGTGAGGCAGATTCTTGCCATCCTTGCTTGTAAGGAGCATTCTGGCTGCACTTCTCCCAGGACAAATTTATTTGTTCTTTTGGAAGTGCATGGTACTTTTCCGCATTCTTCACCAACACCATTAATTCAAACACCATCAATTAATCTACGAATCACTCACTCACTGTCATCGAGTCAATGCCAGCCCTTGGTAACCTTATAGGGCAGGATAAAACTGCCCCTGTGTTCCTGAGACTGTAACTATGAGGGTAGAAAGTCAGTTTTTTCCCAAAGGGAAGGGAAGCATTTCTCCTTTAGGAACCTCTTTAGTTAATGTTTGGACTCCATTAATGATATAACAGTTGCCATTTTGCCAATATCGTATAAGTATCCCAAATGAAGCACCCAAAGAATGGTTGTTGCCAGTGGGTGTTAGGGATCTCATTCATTCCCGTCAGATTAACGGCTGCTGGAAGTGTGAGACACAGCCTGTATGCATGTACACTGTAGACACACAGGTACCAAGGGAAACCCAATCGGGCTCTCAATGCATCCAGTAATGTTGCCTGGGAAGGTTCTCTGATCACAGTGATTTTTTTCGTAGAGGCAGGTTAGCTCATACCTCCTGTTTTGTGATGGCCAATTTAAGAGAACCCCGTGTGGCTGTGAAATTTTGTTTCCTGCTTTGGAAAATTGCCACAGAAACTGCTGTGATGTTGAACACAACTTATAAAGACACTGTTATGGGAAAAACTCAAGTGCCAATTTAAGAGAACACCGTGCGGCTGTGAAATTTTGTTTCCTGCTTTGGAAAATTGCCACAGAAACTGCTGTGATGTTGAACACAACTTACAAAGACATCGTTATGGGACAAACTCAAGTGTTCGAGTGGTTTTCTTGTTCCAAAAAAAGGTGAAATAACAACTAATGACAAGCCTTGCTCTGGATGTCCATCAACTTCCCGAATGATAATGTTGACAAAATTTGTGCACTTGTGCTCAAAGACCAACTACTACAGGCCATTGAAGAGATGGGGAAGTTACTCCCTCAATGCAAGAATATTTTCTTCTATTAAATTGGCATTCTATGATGCTCACCTTCCTGACACAACTGCTGAAAACAAAGCGGGTGAATAAGCAAATGTGGTAAAGAAAGCTGATGGTGACCGGCTATCAAAAGAGATAGCGTCTGGGGTCTTAAAAGCTTGAAGGTAAACAAGCGGCCATCTAGCTCAGAGGCAACAAAGCCCACATGGAAGAAGTACACCAGCCTGTGCGATCATGAGGTGTCAAAGGGATCAGGTATCAGGCATCATCAGAACAAAAAATGTTATCATACTGAATAAAGGGGGGTGGAGACCCAAAGCCCATTTGTAGGCCACTGGACATCCCCTTACAGAAGGGTTTCGGGGAGGAGACAAGCCAGTTAGGGTGCGATGTAGCAACGATGAAAATTACAACTTTCCTCTAATTCCTAAATGCTTCCTCCTCTCCCCTCCCCCTATCATGATCCCAATTCTACCTTGCAAGTCTGGCTAGACCAGAAGATGTACACTGGTACAGAAAGGAAATAGAAACACAGGGAATCCAGGGTGGATGATCCCTTCAGGACCAGTGGTATAAGAGGTGATACTAGGAGGGTGGAGGGAGGGTGAGTTGGAAAGGGGGAACCAATTACAAGGATCTACATGTGACCTCCTCCCTGGGAGGATGGACAACATAAAAGTGGGTGAAGGGAGACATCAGACAGGGCAAGATATGATAAAATAATAATTCATAAATTATCAAGGATTCATGAGGGAGGGGGAGCGGAGAGGGAGGGGAAAAAATGATGAGGGGCTGATGCCAGGGACTTAAGTGGAGAGCAAATGTTTTGAGAATGATGAAGGCAATGAATGTACAAATGTGCTTAACACAAATGATGTATGTATGGATTGTGATAAGAGTTGTATGAGCCCCTAATAAAACGATTTAAAAAAAGAAGAGATGGGGAAGTTATCTGGACTCTCTTAGAGCTCAGTTCAGCAAATTTTAATATAAGATTTGGGAATAAGAAGGGTGACTGCAAAATGTGTGCCTTGGGTTCTGGCTGACCAGGAAAATGAGCACCATGCTTTAAAAGAACAGCTCCAAAGCGACCCAAACTTTTTCCCCCAAGATCATTACTTGTAAAGCGACATGGTGCTAATTCTTAGGACCCTGAAAGCAAGCATCAATCAAGCCAGAGGAAGAAACCATCATCACCTCTCCCAAAATAAGCTTGCCAAGTGAAATTATCAGGACGATGCTCATTTGTTTTTCTGATGTGAAAGGGGGATAGTGCATCTGGAGTTCGTTCCACCAGGTCAGACTGCTGGTGAAGTGTTCTATGTAGAGGTTCTGAAAAGAGTACATTCTCAGAGTGCAACAAAACAGGCCTGGTTTGTGACAGATGTAGACTGGTTTTGCCACAATAATGTACCTGCTCACATCTCAGTGCACCAGGTTTGGCAAAAAACAGTATGCCTCTCTTGCCCCACGCACCTGACTCACCTGACCTCGAACCTTGTGACTTTTGTATCTTTGAATGAAGAAGGACATGAAAGGACAGCAATTTGACAAAATTGAAGGAGTGAAGAAAAACAAGGGAGGTGCTGTCAACCATCCAAACAGATCAGTTTGAAAAAATGTTTCCAAGAATGGAATAGCAGATTTAACAAATGTATTAAGTGTAATGGAAGAGTACTTTGAAGGTGATAAGGTTTTTAAAAAAAATTTAAATACATGCTTTGAAAATAACTTTTTTTTTTAGTTCTCCCCGTATGTACTTTAAAGTTACAAAATAGTAACGAAAGTTTAAGGGGAATAGTACCACCCCCCTAGGGACAAAGAAAGCAGTACCTGTTCTCCCAGAGTGAGATTAAAGTCCCACCCCAGATCTAGGCTTGGAGTGTTTTCGTCAGGATAAAGGAAGAGGTACACCTTGCTTAGCTTCCACAAACTGTATAATAGGTTATTTGTGGTTTGAATACTGTCCAAACACTGGATCAGATACAGGAGACAGGCAGGACGTGGATCATCCCTGGTTGGGCCCAGGACCCACACTATGACTAATGCTTGGAGAGACTGCACAAAACTGGCTCCACCACTGCTGAACCTATGTGGTCACCACCAAGAATCTCAGAGCCATGACTAGCCCTACTCCCCGCCGGGGAGTGGGGGTGGGGTGGGGTGGGGGGGGGGGAGGGTTGGGGAGCCTGCCTTGTCATGCACTGCCTTCCCTTCCTTCCTCTGCCTACCTTCCCTTTACTCCAACCACCCTAAGGGCTTTAAATTCTTGCTTATGCGCATTGCCCTCCTCTGCCCCCTCCCACCTGCCTTCAGCATCCCGGACAGGTAGCTTCCACTGACTGTCACCTGAAAAGGAGACACAGCCTTTAGTCCAGTGTACTAGAGCTAGGAGACACACATCAGATCTCCCCCATACTTAGCAAAGTCTGTCCGCTGGCCCGGCTTTCAGACTACGATTTCTGAACGCTGTAACAACTTTATGGAACCACAGACTCTA